TGATCTAGCCCAGCACCACTTCCACATACTGGTTCAAATTGGTTGCCGCCACACCTGGATCCAATGTTCAGAGAAATAGAGTTGGGTATCATCAGTATATTGATGGCACTGTCCTCTAAATCTTCTTATGACCTCTTCCAGCAGTTTCAGGTATATGTTAAACAGCATAGGGGACAAGATGGAACCTTGCAGGATCATGTAGCACTGTCATCATAGCACTGTCATCATGGCACTCCAAAAGGCGGCAGCCTGCAAGAGACCTTAAAATGCCTTGCTTTTATAGGTTCTGCTTTAAAAACTCTCTGGAGTCACAGATTCCTTGCTCTGGGAGAGAGGCTGTCATCTGAATTAAATGAAAACCCTGAAAATGAGGAAGAAACACTTGAATTTCTTCCCCAGGGGTACCCCCAAGCTCTCTTGCCACAAGAGGGCTTGAAAAAACAAAAACCCCACAGAAAACAAACTGTCTCTGATAGCTGACCTCTCAACTAGGCAGGGGCACATGTAGAACTCCTGTTACCTTCCAGGACACAAGAATCAAATCATTGCCTTAAAAAAGGTGATTTTTATTAACAAAACAAAAAGGTATACTTGATAAAGCATACCTGGTTTCTAGGTGTTACAGAGCAACTAAGAAAAGAGCAGATTAAAACACAGAAGAAAAAATGATATCTCTGGGCACAGTTTGATGTATATTGAATGGGAAGAGGGAGGCACATGGATTTTACACAGAGAAGTTTTACCAAACAGCAAAATAACCTGGTCGTGACTAAATATATATTTCTCCTCTACTCACGATCCATACCTCAAGACTCAGTCCATTCCCATGCCAATATTTCTTGTAGGCATGGTAAGTCCGATTGATTATTTCATCTTGTTCCTCTAGCTGCTAACTTAGAACTCTCATAAAGAGAAAGGGCAGAAGGATTTAAATTTTAGCACTGTATCCCATTGGTTCTTCTGGTCCCCTGCCAACACCCTTAGTTACCTCAGTTCAACCGTTTAGTCACTGAATGCTGGCAAGTACCCTTCTTATCCATCACAGTCTCTAATACCCAACCCTGCCAGATACTCCAGAAGGATACCATAGTCAATGGTATCGAAAGCTGCTGAGAAGTCCAAGAGAATCAACAGGGACACATTCCCCCATCTATCTCCCAGCATCGGTCATCTACCAGGGTGACCAAGATGCTTTTTGTTCCAAAACCAGGCCTGATGCCAGACTGAAATGACTCTAAATAATCCATTTCTGCACATGGATTTTCTTTTAGGAAACAATGTGTTTCAGGAACCACAGTGGTGAGTCAGGTTCTATTCAAATGGCTTATGCAATTTTATGTGATTCCTGGGTTGATTTTTGCTGAAAATATTGTTTTATCAATGCCAATGGATTGAATTCTGATATCATTTTTCTCCTGTGTAAATGAGGTAAAAATTGGTATAAGAATATGGTAATCCCCAGTATTCCTATTTTAAGCAATACAAAAAACTGAACTCGCTCCTTTTGCCATTACAGAGAGCACTTTGATAAGGCCAGAAAAAAGAATGGTGGTAATAAACATTTTTAGAACAAGAAATAAGCTCAGGAATCAGAATCCAAAGAGCTACAGAATGCATAGTTTGGATAATTTTGGTTAAGGTCTGCTGGGTGACTAAAGATTCTAATCTGAATCTTTCTAATCTGATTTTTGCTCTTTTTGTGGATTGCAATTAATATGTAAATAATATTACTAGTAGATAAATGGTGATTTTAAAATGTTAAAAATTGTATAAAAAGTGTAATTAAAAAAAATCCAAGAAAGGCACTGGAGATAGAGGAAATCTTTAGCCAACAATATGATTTAAGAATCTGAGTGAGGTAACTTGTATTTTTTATGCTTTGGCATAATTTATGATGTCTGCATTTAAATCTTTTCTTCTAAAACACACTAATATTTTTCCTGCTGTTCGTTCATTAGTATATAATATAATTGACACTTGTGCAACCAAGGACAAAAGGAATCATGTGATAGTGTTGTTCTAAAGGATGATTTTATTTACGGGAAGTGTCTCATCCCCCCAATAAAGGCATGTCAGGTCCCACCGAAGAACTGTACTTTGATACACACGCTGGTACTGAGAAAGTGTTTATAGCAGAAAAAAAATCTGGTTTAAGTATATTTTCATACATGGCTTATGTTTATGTATTGTGATTCTAATTGAATTATAGCTTTGCTCTTCCACCTAGAGCTCTTGACTTTATAAGAGGGAACATTATGACATCGTGAATGTTGTTATAGTTGGATTAATATAGAATCATAGAAAAGAAGGGGAGGAAGCAATCTCAAGAGGTTGTTAAATCCAAACCCTCTGTGCTATAGCAGGATCAAGTCAACCAAGACCATCTCTGACAGGTTTTTGTCTAACTCGTCCTTAAACCTCTAACAATGGGATTCCTTACTTAAATGGCTATTCAAGTGGTTAAGTATCCTTACAGTTACAAAGCTTTTCCTAACATCTAACCTGAATCTCCTTTGTTGCAGATTCTTCACTGAACATGGAGAACAATTGATGAGTCCTCTTCGTAACAGTCCTTAATGTAAACCCTTCTTTTCCCTAGACTAAATATGCTTGTTGTTTTGCTTGTCCTTCTAGATCAGGGTTTCTAAACCTTGTATCATTTTTATTGCTCTCCTCTGGACTATATCCAGTGTACCCACCTTTTCTAATGTGTGGTGCCCAGAACTGGACACAGTCCTCCAGCTTGAAGCCTTGTCAGTGCTGTCTAGAGTTGGACAGTTAACTCCTGTATTCACTTGATGACACTTCTGTTAATACATCTCAGAATATTTGCTTTTTTGCGCAGCTGCATTATGCTGTTGGTACTCATTCAATTTGTAATTCACTAAAACCTCCAGATCTTTTTCAGCAATACCATTGCCTTGCCAGTTATTCCTCATCTTGTAGTTGTGCATTTGATTTTTCCTTCCTGAGTGCAATACTTTGTACTTGTCTTCACTGACTTTCATCTTGTTGATTTCGGACCAATTCTCTGATTTGTCTAGGTTGTTCTGAATTTTAATCCTGTCCTCCAAAGTGTTTGCAGTGCTTCCCAGCTTGGCATTATCTGCAGATTTTATAAGTGTACTCTCCTATGCAATCACCCAAGTCATAAATGAAAATACTGAACAGTACCAGACCCAGGACGGAGATGTGCCTTCCCAGTTCGAGAGCAAACAGTTGATAATTACTCTTTGAGTATGGTCTTTCAATCAGTTTTGCACCTACCAGATAGTGACTTCATCTAGACAACATTACCCCAGTTCGCTTATGGGTCTGTCATGTGGCATTGTGGCAAGGGCCTTACTAAACTCAGGAAATATCTACTTTCTCCTTATCCACTGGGCCAGTAACTGGTCAAAGAAGGAAGTGAGGTTGGTTGGGTATAATTTGTTCTTGACAAATCCATGTTGGCTATTCCTTATAGCCTTATTATCCTTCAGATTCTTGCAAACTGATTATTTAACAAATTGTTCCAAAATCCTTCTTGGCACCAAAGTTAGGCTGACAAATCTATAATTCCCTGGGTCCTCTTTTAGAAGCCCAATTAGAGCAGCTTGAAGTCAGTGATGGAGTGTAGGAATCTGCTGTGTGTACAGTGTTATCAATCAAGTTATTTCTTCTATTCTGTAGCATTGGGGTGGTAATGGTTTGAAGCGTGTAGGATGAAGCTTTGGGGCAGAACCTTAGCTGGTGTAAATGTCATTGTCTATTGTCTTTAAAGGAATTAGGATGGTGATAATTGAGGATCTGTTTCCTAATATCTAAGGTAGCTTGCTGAGGGTGTAGCAGAGATATGCTTACTATTGCGTTTCAATGTGACTGCCGAATGATTAAAAAATGGACTTGCACACAGTTTGATTATGGACAAAATAGGCTTTGAAAGGTTGCGTAACTCCTCTGTCAACACACTTTTTTAAACTTTTAATATATCAGGAATACAAAGTTTGTCTTTTCTAGTTGCTTTGGAGGAAAGGTGTGTACAGTGAAACTTAATGTACCATTTGAGGGTCTTCTAACCAAAATATTAATGTCGTTGTAGTTAAATAATTAACAAAACAGATTTGAATAGCCTACAGATCTTTCCTATTCATTATCCCTGCTTCTTTTTTTAGCAAAGTTGATACCGTCATTTCAGTAGGTCTCTACTTTTCTAGGGTATTCCCGCCTACACCAGAGCTCAATTTCTAACAACACCTAGAACAAAAAAAATTAGGAAAAACAAACAAACCTTTTTTGGTGTGTGGGAGGACTCCACACGAAAATTTCAGGCCATCTTTACACATGATAAAGAAGAAGAAGAAAACAAAAAACAAAGCAAAAACCAAAAATTCCATTTCTTTTTTCCTTTAATATATGCTCAATTAGCTGAAATAAGATTTAAATATGTGTTTTATAATTGTAGTCTTCATTGTGTGAAATTATCCATAGAAATCAACAGTGGTTGACTTAAACAAAGAAGGAAAACATTTGCAGTGCATTTTTGTCATGATGATTTAGAACAGGTGTGGGAAATAATACGGTGGTGGTTTGCCAGGGTTAGTCCCTGGTGGGCCACTGCCTCTATATTTACCTGCACAGCCACAGGTACTGGTGATCACAGCTTCTGTTGGCCACGGATTGTCGTTCTTGGCTATGGAGCAGCTGGAAGCAGCGTGGACCGGGACACCGCTTCCCGTAGCTCCCATTGGCCAGGAACAGCAATCTGCAGCCAATGGAAGCTGCGCTCACCAGTACCTGCGGCTGTGCAGGTAAATATAGTGGTGGAAGCCTGAAAGGACATAACCCTGGCAGACTGGATCCAGCCCAGTGGGCTGATATTTGCCCACCCCGATTTAAACCCTACTAGTTTGTCCAGTTGGTCCTTTACCATAGATCTCTTCTACTGTACTATAGCAAATGTTTAATCTAAATAATGTAAATTGAATAAGACTTTAGGTTAAAGAAAAATTCAAAACATATGAAATATAAAACAATAATTTATTTACTTGTTAATGTTTATAACTAATGATTTCATGAAACTGCTCTTACAATTCAGTACATTCAAATCTACAAAGCAAAACAGTTACTACAATGGGCAATTCAACTTACACAAACTGTTTTGTGTAAACAACTTAGCTGTACATGCACATTCTTTCAACAGGTTGCAACACTTGCAAACATGCTTTAAAATCCTTCAAAGCTCCAATATAATGTAACTTTGCTTCAGGCCTTTCAGCTGAAACCTATATATTTCCTTTAGATATCTAAAAAAGAAAAATGTTTAAATGCTGATCATAACTCTAAAGCCTGCAGGTATGATAAATGTTAAATATTACAGGAGAATGGCTCTATCAGGAGTTCAATACTTTTGCGATTAACCTTGAGCTAAATATTGATAAACAGCAGTGTGTGCAGAAGTGCACCACGGCAAAGAAATATCACAAAATATGCTTTCATAAAAATACATATTTGCGGTTGCTTTTGTGGTTTTTAGGCAAAGAAAAGCACGTGTAACCTTTTATATGAACACAGTTTAAACAAATTATCGGCTTAAGTATTGTAAATACATTTTCTGATATTTAAACACTTCATGTAAAAGGTAATGAGTAAAAAAGTACAATCAGTATTCCAAAAAAAGACGTTACTATTGCCTTCAAAGGAGATGGGCAGTTTCTGTCTCCACTTTCCGATAAAGAATGTTGGCACCCAAAGTTGTAGAGTTCAGTACTTTTAATTATAAAGTTGATGACTGTATCTTATATACAAAAAAACTTGCCACATTGAACGAGGCAGGAATTTCTACTCCAAAGGTAGCAGTTTATGTACATAATTCAGCAACGGTGATTATACAGTAGTTACTGACAGGAAAGAATTGTACACTCTTGTGCCATCGGGGGACTTTGTGCCATGAGTTAAGAGTTCTTGGATTGTCATCCAGTTGTCAAAGATTTTTTTATTCCTCTTCTTCATCATTTTTTTGTGGCTCAGTTCAATGATGTTCATCTCTTTCTTTTCTTCCACCCCTTGCTGTTCCTTTAAACAATCTAACCTGCTCTGCATCATAAACTCGCGTCGCCGCCTCTGTTCCTTCGCTTTCACCAAATGCTGCTTCCGTTCCTCCTTGCTCCAATAGCGGCCCATTTTCATCTCACTTATAGCGTCGTCATCTGTCGTCATCCCGCTGCGCTCTTCCTTAATCTTTATGGCACGTTCTCTCAGTAGCCTGTCCCTGACTGGCCTCTTGGTGATGTAGCGGGTTCCATCGCTCCTGACCTTGACTTTCCATTCCATCCGGGGCTCGCTTTGGCTTGACGAATTGAAGTCTTTGCACATGCTCACTAGACTCATCTGGCTCTGTGCATATTCCACAGCTGACTTCTGTTGTATCAGCTGCATGTAGCTCTGGTAGTGCTGAGCGTGGGCTGGGATATGAGCGTGTTTATAGGGAGAGTGATGATATGGAGAGATGTAGGAGCCAGCCAGTTTTTGAGCTGGGCTTTTGCTTCCATCACTGGCTTTTCGCTCTTTGCTTTCCAGCTGCTTGCCAAGGTCCGTCTCTTTAGGGGACGAGAGATATTTAGCAGAGCTGGCTTCGTGACTTTCTGAGCTAGGGAGCAGATTCTTCTGGGAGACATATGCCCCTGCCCCCTCATTACCTTGACAGCTGAGGCCTTCTACTGTTCTGTGCAGAGAATTCTCAGGGGAAATTTGCAGGGTGAGCGGTGTGCTTCGACAGCTCTCACCTGTGTTGTATGCACTCGAGCTATCCTTGTCAGATTTCTCTGGGAGCTCTGTAATGTCTGAGAGCTCGTGTCTGCGCGCATCAATGGTTGTATTGTAGTTACGGAATCCGCTGTTATGGAGCATCCAGGGCTCCCGGTATTGATCTTTCAGCTGTTGCATTTTGTGAGCTCTCACGATATTCAGACACTCTAGCTCAATATTCCGCAGCTCCTCATTCAGCATCTCCAGCTCCCTGTCAACGCTCTCGTGGTCACTCTTACTTATATCCGAGGCACTGTTATGATAATATAGACTGTACGGGTTGGCAGACTTGACTTGGCACTTCAGCTCCAGCAGTTCACGGAATCTCTCGCATTCATCCACTGGGATGCTGAGGAAGTCTGTGTCTGTGCAGTCGGCCGAGATAAACGACTCGTTGCTGAACGGCATGTCACCGCTTCCTAGAGTGTCATGACTGTACGCCAGCTGCTTCTGGCTCCCCAGGGTGTTAGAGGAAGTGGTGTGATCGTCGGCATTATTCTCCTGCTCAGAGCTTTCGTCATTTCGCGTGCTCTCATCTGTGCGTCCCACACCGCTGTCCTTCTCATGCTGATTAGATAAAATAGTGGCCGTGTCTGTGGTGCCGCCATCTTCTTCATGCTTCTTCTAAAATCAAAAATAAACTATAAACATAAAACCCAAAGACAAACTATTTGCAAGTTCAAATCATGATAGAAGCCCTGAGTCCTTCTGAGTTTTCTTACTCCGTCATGCATGTTCCCTTATTACCTAATGAGTTTAGAAAACCTATTAGCGACTGGATTTTCAGTGGCGCTCAGGACCAGATTTTCCATTGTGCAGCTTCCATGCAAAGGTGCTAGATTTCCAAAAGATCTGTAATCCCATTCAGTTGCTGAAGTTAGGACCCAATTTTAAAAGTTCAGCATTTAGCAGCTCCAGCTGCCACGCTTATGACCCAATGTGCAGAGCTCTTTCAAAAAACCTGACCTCTTGTTTTTGGGGCTTAAATGGGAACAGAACATTCTGGAAAATCTGGACCCAATAGTGGATAATGGAATGGAGTGGAAAATTCTTACCCAGAACTGCAGCATTATACAGGAATTAGCATAAGTGCAAATGCATTTTAAACATGTGGGATCAAGAAGTCAGATGGTCTTGTTTCCCAGCACAGAATTTTAACCACAGGAAATCTGGATTCACTTCTTGCCTCTGCCACATACCTTTTTGTGTGTCCTTGAGTAAGTCACTTGTTCTCTGCCTGAGTTCCCTATGTGTAAATAATACACCCTTTTCCCAATGTTTTGCCTTACTGTCCATTAAGACTGTAAGCACATCAAGGCAGAGATAATTTCTTACTAGGGATATGTACAATGAATGCACAGCAGGGCAGGAGACTCTAGGTACCACTGTGATAATCCTTGTCTTTGACACACTTTGTCCACTTCACTACCGAGTCTATTAAATCTGACTTACAATTCAAACTGATTCAAGTTGTCTAACACGGAATTTTTTTCCCCAGAATTGATTTATTAATTAGCCTCCGTTTCATCTTGCTGTCATGTAGCTAATGCTATTCAACTTAATGACCACAACCAGAATGGTGAATGCCTAAAAAAAAGGCTATTAAAAGCTTGAACTGCACTCATGTTTTAAATGCAACCCCTCCCCCCCAAAAAAACAAAACCCCACACCTAGTAGCAGATTTGAAAATGTATGGTAATTTAGATTAGGAATGTGAACATGCATCCAAGTACATGGTTAACTGATCTTGAAAATGTATGGTAATTTAGATTAGGGATGTGAACATGCATCCAAGTACATGGATAACTGATCCATTGGTTAACCCTCTTAGTTACATGCATCCTCTATCCCCCCCCACCCCCCGCTGTTGCCTCTATATCAGTGCGTGGGGAGCTAGCTTTTAAGCTGGCTCCCTGCATGTGCCAACTGTCATGGAGCGGTCTCCCTCCCCCCTGTTGCCTACCACAGTGGCAGCAGCATGGGGTAGAGGGGACAGGAGCAAGCTGGTACATGCTGGCTTTCAAGCCAGCCCCCCATGTGCACTGGCTCCCATGGAGCTGCCTTCTCCCTTGTCCTTGTGCTGCTGCTTCCACAGAAGCAGCAGGGCTGGGGGTGGAGGGAGGGAACGGGAACAGGCAGGAGCTGGTTCACGTGTAACCGCTAAAAAATTCAGCAGTTAGACATTTACACAAATAACTGCACTTTAACATCCCTAATGTAGATGGCGTTTTCTATGCAGTTTGCAGATACAGTCCTGGAACAGCTACATTTTGCAGAGCGTCTTTCTGCTCGGAGCGTCATGAAAGTTACTGGTTGGTTCATTCAGATGAGTTCGGTATCCTAACATAAGGGTCGTGTGACATTTTGACAATGCCGCACCATGAAGCGGCGTTACCTGCTGTAGGATGCTGGCAGTAAACTGCATGGCCTGGTGGTGCTGTTCCTCCAGCATGTCCATGTGTAAGTCATCCAGAAAATCATTTCTGTCATCGTCCATCCATCCTTCATCCAGCTGCATGAAAGGGGATAAATAAAAAAACCAAACCCACACATGTCGTGTTGTCATAAGGATGAAAACTGACATAAATATATTCTCCCTCTTTGTGGAAAATAAGGAGAATGAGGGAAGCTGCTTTCTGCCACCTTGCTGTATATCACTCTGTGTCTGACCTGTTAGCCCTCCCCCTCAAAGGAAACGTGCACGTTTTCGAAATCAAGCCTGGGAGCACAAGCTGATTACACTGCAAGACACTAAAAAGTGTGGACTGAACAAAGACACTGTGTTTATGGCTTATTACAGCAATCTGGAACCCATTAACTCCCCTTTTAATCTTATGAGCACAGAGATGTTAATAGGCGACTCTGCCTTAAATGGTCCTTTACTACTTATGCCAAACAACCTGTCCCACCTTACATTTTGCTGTGAGTACCTTCCCCAGACCTGAAGAACAGCTCTCTATGGCTCAAAAGCTTGTTTCTCTCACCAACCGAAGTTGGTCCAAAAAAAGGTACTTCCTCACCCACCTTATCTGTAATACCATGGGACCGACCCAGCTACAACTACACTGTGGAAATGAATATGGATCTCTTCGTTATGGGCTATTCTAAGTGCAACCAAAGAGCTGCCACAAAGACCACTTTTCAGGTTCAATCTCTTTTTTGCACATGACTGTTTGGATTCCCAGTAGTGGGATTTGGCCCATAATCCTAGGGTGTGTCTAGACTGGCAAGATTTTGCGCAAAAACTTGCCAGCTGTCTACACTGGCTGCTTGAATTTGCGCAAGAGCACTGACTTTGTAATGTACAAAATCAGTGCTACTTGCGCAAATACTTTCATGCTCCCGCTCGGGGGGAAAAAGCCCTCTTGCGCAAGAATACTTGCGCAAGAGGGCCAGTGTAGACAGGGAAGAACTGTTTTGCGCAAAAAAAGCCCTGATGGCTAAAATGGCGATCGGGGATTTCTTGCGCAAAATCACGTCTAGACTGGCCATGGACGCTTTTGCGCAAAAGCACTTTTTGCGCAAAACATCTGTGCCAATCTAGACGCGCTTTTGCGGAAATACTTTTAACGGAAAAACTTTTCAATTAAAAGTATTTCCGCAAAATCATGCCAGTCTGGACGCAGCCCTTGATTTTTCTACTCGCTCAGTTGAGAATACAAATCAATTAAAACAAAAAAGTCCCTCCTCCTTTCTCTCCTCAAAAGTTCCTCTCCCCTACTCCTCCCTGCCCTGATCCCCTGCTGGTCCTGGAAATATAGCTGTTTACGTCTGAGATGGGTGGTTGTTTTGGTGCATATAACTAGAATATTTGCATATTCTAGGCTCAAATCTTCAAGTTATTGGTTGGCCTGGGTGGTCAGGCTGGGTAGATGCCATTCCAGGAAATACTGAAATGTCCAGTATTCTAGGGATATGAAAGTGGCCACCCTATCCCTCCTCTACCCCATTTCCAAGGAAAGAACAGGTGTGTCCAAGTATCTGTGGATTCTCCAGCTTGACCCTCCCCATAATTCTCCCTTCCCCCGCATGCACTACTGCAACACAATTTGAGCAAGGGGGACATATCCCCTGGACAACCATAGTACTACTAGGGCTTGTCTATGCTAGGAAATGATTTCAAAATCACTTATTTTGAAATAGTGTGTCCACACTACAGGCCTTGAAATTAGTCTGAGGCAGGTTCCCTTAATATTGACACCCTACCTCGACTTAGAGCCCCAGGAACCACTGCGGAGTAATTACTCTGAATGACTCTGCGGAGGAGCTATTTCGAAATAGCAGCAGTGGAGCATCCACACTAATGCTCTTCTGAAATGGCTATTTCAAAATAGCGTTATTCTTTGTGGAAAGCAGGCATTATTTGGAAATAACCTGCCCGTTATTTCAAAATAAAGGACTTGGTAGTGTGGACGCTTTCCTTGTTGTTTCGAAATATGGGTGGTTGTTTCAAAGTAACTCCCTAGTGTAGACCTGGGCCTAGCATCTCCTGCACTATGTGTGTGACACTCAAATCCAGCCCTGGAGCAAGCATGTTAGGATTCAGCTTCAAACCCGGGTCTTGCAGCTGCGAGAAGAGAGCCATCTGTTAGATATGACCAGAATGCCAGCTATGCACTACATAAAGGCTCCATTTAAAGATGGTAGAGAAAGAGCTAATTGATTAATAAGTACAGGTTTGACTTCCCTGGTCCGGCATCCTCTGGGCCTGAGCGGTCCTGAAGAAGAGAGTTTGCTGGACCAAGGTAGGTCAGACCTCCAGGCTCTCCAGGGCTCTGCTCCTGGCCCCCAACCACAGCCAACACGTTGCCCCTGGCCTGTCTGTTGCCCCTGGCTGGCTGCTAGGCATGGGGTTCCCTGCCCCCTGGTCAGTGGTACTTGCCTGGGCTCCATTCCTGGCCACTGGCCTTGTGGGCTGCTGGACCACAGACGTTGCCGGACCAAAGGGTCCCGGACCAGACTGGTTCAACCTGTACTAGTTAATTAATTGCTATAGAGTATTATAGAGATCAGTGTATTATTTGGAACCCTGGCATGTAATTATCCACACCTTACACTGATATATCTATAACCACCTGTAACAGGTCCTCTTCATATCTGTAACATGGTTACATGCTTAATCATTTATTAACCCTTTAAAGCGAACCTTAATATAAAGTGTGACAATGTATGTGAATGTTCATGAACTTTTTTCATGTGTCGTGTGTCTCCAGTCTAACCGTATATGACTTTTTTAAAATAGAAAACGAAATCACTTCAAAATCCACTCCCAGTAAGTAAATAATAGTCTCTATGTACCTGAATTTCTGGTCTTGCTACAAGTAAGGAGACATTTTTGCTCTCTTCGCTGGTTAGAAGTGCCACAGCTTCTTCTCGGTTCTGCACCTCAATGCCATTAATCTAAAAATATATATATAGTAAAAAACCAAGTATGGGGGGGGGGGAAGGGAAATAATGTTGTCATTTGAATGCTCATATTCTTGGTGATGGGCTCCATTGAGCTGCATGGCTACACCGATTGTCACATCAGATATGCTGCAAATTGTCTCTGTACAAATCTGCAACAGCAGAGCACATATGTGGCAGATATTTTGATGGAGAACACATGACATTGGCATCCGTCCATGTTTTTCATAGTTTGTGTATATGTGCAGGTACGTGGAAGCAGTCTTGTCATAGAGCTGGAACCAGAGAGGATGGGAAAGGTATGGGTAGAATCACAACAGGGAACCAAACTAGTTTCATAACTAGATATCGCCAAGAGGGATAGAATTTCCCAATGAAGACCACATCAGCAATTAAAAAGGAAGTGGACTTCTAGTCAGAATGATCTTGAGCTCTAAAATATTACTAGATAAATCACTCCTGAAGCTGATATTGTATTGTGGGAGTACTACTTTCATTGGTACAAGTATCGTGACACTCACATTGCCACGGCATCAGTAGAATTACGCTGGAATGAATCTTATGCTGTTCCACAGAGGAGAATAATTGTTGGAAAAAGCAGAGGGTTTCCTTGGTAGAACACAAAATTAAGCACAGATATGTGGCAGGTTGTGCAGGAAACAAAGTGGGGGGCGGAGGGTTTCCTTGGTAGAACACAAAATTAAGCACAGATATGTGGCAGGTTGTGCTGGAAACAAAGTGGGGAGGGGGAAGGGTTTGCTGGTAAAATTCTAGTGTAGAGCAGGCCAGGGGGTATGATATAAAGTGATTGAAAATGAGCCACTATTCTAGGAAATGAGGCAGTTAGCTAAGTGGAAAATGTTGGCTAGCTTTTCACTGCCATGCAACTCAGAAATGGCTTATTTGGTTTCCACTCAGTCTTTCCAGTGTGGGCTAGTACACTACATCTGCAGCTTGACCAACGCTACCAAAACTTGGTGTGAGGGTGTGTCTAGATGAAGAGACTATGCAGCAGGCTGGATTGTAAATCAATCGCGCACTAACCATGCTGCCTGTTAACTTGCCACGTGGACCCTACTACAGTGCACTAAGGGGAACTTACAGTACACAATACCAGAGGTCTGCATAGAAAATTACATCCCATCTTGATGCACTGTCTAGACAAGCCCTAAACCTAAAACCAGTAGCTCGAAGGAAAATTTTTGAGGAAAATTACAAGGGAGCTCAGAATTATTAGGGCTATAATGGAATGATTCACTGCAGCAATTCTAAAATAAAGTGTGGGAAGCAATGTGATATGTAAGTTCAAATAGCTACAGTATAGCGTGGAATGCAAGTAATCCATGAATTATTTGCTCACATACTTGAATAATGCGATCTCCCTCTCGTAGGCGACCATCTTTCGCAGCAATGCTGTTGGGATCAATCTGCAAAACAGAAGACTTGTAAACAGTGCTTAATTTGTAAAGAAAGAGGTGCTGGGGCTCATGTTATTTTTTTGTATTCATAAGCCTGGAGACACTGGGGTTATGAACTGACAAGCTTAGAGGTGCCAGGGGCTCAGCATAACAAATTAAGCACTGCTTGTAAATGCTACAGAGGTTTAAAAGAGAGGTTTCAATCTTTCACCTCCCATTTTAAACATGGCATTTACAATGCAAGTAAAGTGGGTTGAATTGAGATGTCAGTATCCAGCGCTGGGTCCATGGTTTCTATCTCATAAATAATTATTAGCGAATCTCCCTTGCCTTCATGAACCACAAATTAAAATGACTGGGTTAAATGTAAAATGTTTTCTTTCTGACATGAGCCTCCAGAGAAGACAGGCTTGTGTTACATATGAGAAGTTTTCTCATTTGTGCTTTCAGAAGTAACATTTAAACTTTGAAAAGCAACTCTTTGATGATCTATGCCTTACAAATGGGAGGATTAAGTCCTGCTTGATGTGTTGTAAAGGAGGGTGTATTAAATTTAATGGAGTTTTTCTCTAACTATTTAATTTGAAATGGATAAAAGGTTTGCTAAGTATAAATTAATAAATGATATAAAGTTAGGTAAGTCCATGTGCAAATTATTGTTTGCATGAAAGGAAGCACAGAATGCCAAGCAGGCATGAAATATTTAGTTGCAACCTAATAGAATTGCTTGCAATTTTATTCTATTTATCTGGATGTTCACAACAATCCACAACAATCAAAAATAGACATCAGATGCAGAGAGCATGAAGAATTCTTGGCACATTTAATCTGAAGTAAAATGCATTGTATGGATCTATTTCAGTAAACATGAAGATTAAGTGTCAATGTCATGATTGTGATGTCCAGGGACAACACTGTTTTACGGAGCTAATGACACTATTAAAAATATGTATTTTTATTTCATGGTAGAGAGAATGTGGCATTTCATGTTTGTTGGCACAATCACTCAGAGAAATAGGTTTTTTCCTGGGACTTTCTATGCTTGGATATGATAGAGGTCTACAAAATAATGAATAACACAAATAACACAAGAGTAGGAGGTTACCAAATGAAATTGATAGACAGTAGGTTTAAATCAAACAAAAGGAACTACTACTTCATACAATGCACTGTCAACCTGTGGAACTCATTGCCAGGGGATGTTGTGAAAACCACAAGTAGACTGGGCTTCAAAAAAGAACTAGGTAAGATCATGGAAGAGGCGCCCATCAATAACTATTGGCCAAGATGGTTAGAGCTGCAACCCCACATTCTGGGTGTCTCAAATTTCTATTTGTTAGAAGCTGAGAATGAGCGACAGGGTGTGGATCATTTGATGATTACGTGTTCTGACCACTCCCTCTGAGTCACCTGGCACCAGCCATTGTCAGAAGATAGGATACTGGCCTACCAGGACCATTGGTCTAACCCAGTATGGCCTTTCTTACGTTATGCAATTGTTCTGGAGTAACTCTAAAGGTGGTAGAAAGGGTACAAAGCATCTGTTTTGCCCTTTGACATAGTCTCCAGATTATGTAACAAGATTACCCAGGGGTTCTCAAATTTGAGAGCACAACTAAAGTTGGCTGGGACATGTTTTTAAGAAAATGAAAGCTTTTATTTTGCAAGACACTTTTTCATCAAAAGATTTTGAGTTTTCATGAAAACATGAAAAATTTCATCTAAATCAGTTTTCATGGAAATTTCCATGTTGATAAAAAATGAACATAAATTTCCTTTGGGAAGCTGAGAAGATTTCTGTGGGATTAACATTAGTGACACCAGATTCAGGCTATTTATGTATATACCAACGACGCCTTTCAATTTTTCGGGCATCCCATGGGACTGTGGGATTTTGCTATGGTTGATGCTTCTCTGAAGAGTGTTGTTTCGCTGGAGAGAACAAGAGGCTAGTCATAGGAGCCTGAGGTGAAACCTTTTACAGTTGAATTATATCATATTTTCATACATGTCCAACATTCCAAATTAGTAACATGGAGTACAGCTTTTAAAAAACGGTTGGGTGGGCACATAGCACAAGCAGTGTAGCCTTCTGACCGCATGGTGGGGTAGAAATAGTTGCATTGTGGGGGCAGGAACAAAGGGAGGGATCAGATTATACAGGAGCCTCCAATACAATGGGAAGCTGTGCAAAGGGGAATTGTTGCCAAACTGACTGATGCTAGTAATAACTGGTTCTAAAGCTGGCCAAAATTAGGAAATTCTGCGGGTGGTTGACCTAGAACAAATGCATGGGTCTTTAAATTGAAGAATAGACATATATGTCATGTTAGAGACGAAATCGCAGAAGAAACATAGATGAGAAATGCCAGAGGGAAATAGTTGTCTATTGTAAGGTACAATCTTGTCTTTGGTTGTGCACTAAACTGAAGTATTGGGTGAAATCTTGGCCCCACTGAAGCTAATGGGAATTTTGCCATTGACTTGAATGGACACAAACTTTTACCTATTAATTGTGGAAAGGAAAATAAGCAATTATCTTTGTTATTCCCCTCGCAAACATGTTTAGAATATCACCAGACATGAATGAGTTAGGCACAGGGATGATCTTTTCTTATCCCCAACACTATAGCTTAAAAGACCAATTGTACTCTATATGAAAGCATCTCAACCGTACCTCACTAACATAAATACCAATGTCATCTTCATCATCAGTTCGATAACACACAGTAAGGCCGAGCTTGTCCTGGCTGTTCACTCTATGCAAGTCCACTTCCTAGGCAAAGAAAAGAATGTTCTGAATGAGACATCAGTGAGTGATGAAAGCCATTTTTCAAATGCAATGCAAATATTTTGCTTCAATGATATACTGGATCTCTTTTCATTTTACTGTGAAGACCATGTTAACGTACTGAGTGAAAAGTGGATTATATGCAGACAATCGATAGCTAGGGCATTTCTGACCCTTCAATCAATATAAAGTCATTTTGAAAACGGACCATTTATTGATCTTAAAGAAGAAAAATTACCTATATTTCATGTGGTGGCAAGAATTCCAATGCTAAAATATTTTAGAAAGTATTATTTCAATATTTGCGATAGGTTGCATATATTTTCCTATGCACAATGCAACATTTGACAATATTTTCTGATTTATTTGGAAGAGTACGGCATGCTGTGGTACATTAATTTTAATAGTTTTGCAGCTTTCAGTGAGGAATGACAATAAGTTTCTAAAGATAAGAAACACGCTGGTGGCTACAAGATTTTTTTCAGCAGCGGGTGTGACATTGTTTGTAGAAATATATTTTAGCTTGACCAGAGTATGGATTGACCAGGCAGGCCACACTACTCCAGCATTTGCTGGTGGCATGGTCAGTCTTGGAGGAATGTAAGTTTTAATTTTTTTTTTTTAAATGAAGATTTAGACGTTTGCTGTGAACAAACACCCTCTGCTGGCTTCTCCCCATGTTCATGGCTCCTTTGCATTCGTCTGTCAGAACAAAGGTTGGTAAAACAGTTAATTTGACCGGCTGAAGTTTTTCATTGTGTATAGGACTCCCCATCTCGTATAGTCTGCATAGCTGCCTCCTCCCCCTGTCTCCGTCTCGAGAGTGGTGTGCTAAGAATCACTGAGCATTTCAAGCACTCTCAGTTCTCTGATGTAAGGCCTTGCCTGGAGTTATGTCCTACTCCTAGCCAGTCTGTGATTCTGCTGAATCACAAGTGAGAAGGTTTCCACAAGTGAGAGGTATGATGCCCTTTCTACATACCTTCTTCCTCCCCATAGATAGACAGGCAATAGTAAGGCTAGCAAACTGTTTTTAGAAGGCCCTGACAGCTGATCAATGAAAGGGACCATACATTCTTTGCAGCTTGCTCTAGGCTGGAAGCAAAATAAAGATGCTGTGATGGAGACCTGCTGTTGGAAACGGGATTCGAGAGACCTGAAAAACTGGGCAAAAGGACATGGGATCAGAATGTGGGCATGAGCTCAGGTATGAATCCCTGAACCTTCCCATGACAAGTCACGAAGCAACCCTATTCTAACCTAGCAACTTTGGACTGGACAAGAAGCAGCAAATGTAAAAGTTCTGATAACCTAATTAATTATTTCTCAACATCTCTCCATTTCATCCTGCAGTGAACAAGTGGATATGAATAATTTATTGGCTCGCTTAGATGACAGCTGCCAAGATCAGCAGTCTCTCGTTATTTACTTGTCAACATGTGTAATTTTTTTTTAAACCGTAGCAGTAAATGTCAATGACATTTCAGATGATATTTAAATGGTTTCAATCAATAGTATCCATGTTGAACTATAGTTTTTCCCCCCATCTTACGTTACATAAAGGTTGGCTACCTTGCACTAATTGCTGAATTTTTCCATATTTTCCATATTTCCATTTTCTGAAGATTTGTCATTTTTAGAGAGGAAACTGAAATTGTTCACTGGGAATCATTAGATAAAAGTGGGGCTGATTCTGATCTCAATTGTGCTGGTGTAAATCCAGGGTATCTCTTTTGATGTCAATGGGTTTAGCCTTGATTTGATGGGGAAGAATGAGGCATTATGCCCCTAAATTAGGTTTAGCACAGTTCTTCTGCATTTTTTGTGTACCTTAACAAAGGGGCTTCATGTCTTTAAGACACTCTACACATCTGAGATTGTGGCTGTGAAGAAAAGAATAAGAAATAGCATTTGGCTGCTGTATAAGATCATACTGTCTGTTCTATCTGCAATAAAAGAATACACAAAGTTAGATAGATCCTATGTGATGGTTAATACTTTATTATTTTTGGGGGAGATAGGCAAGGTATTTGTCTCTTCTTGCTTATAGCCTGTATTTTTGGGGGAGATAGGCAAGGTATTTGTCTATTCTTGCTTATAGCCTGTATATAATAACAATATTCATTGGTTTCAATACATTTTACGTAATTATACATTTTATACTGAAGCATGAGAAATAGCGTCTGATATATTCAGAAGGGGATAAATCACCGCAGGGAATTTTAAAATAACCAATCTTTGGACAGGTGGCCTTCTGGAAAAAAATCCTGCAAAAAGAGACTCAGAGCAGGTGTTTAGTACCTGATTTTTTTACACATAATTAATTGATAGACTTATCCTTGGGTAATCCCTCTAGCCCCGGAATAAATAGGATTTCATATTACTCTACATATGCTAATTTTGTGTACTTAAAAATAGTTAAGGCTCTAGTATGTGCCTTTTCCTTGTTAATGTTTTAATGTAATCATAAAGTTCTGAAAGATTTTGATAGATATAAGTATATAAATCCAAATTCTTCAAAGCAAAGGCTAATTGCAAGATTAAGGGTACATCTACACTGCACAGCTATTTTGGGGTACAGGGCCTGGTATTTTGGCATTCCGGTAACCGGTTAAGGGATGTCTCAAAATATAGCACGTTCTTTCGAAATTTGGTGCTGTGTTAACATGCCATATTTTGAAATTCAGTAGAAATAAGATATGCATCTTACTTTGAGTTTCGGGTGCTGTGTAAACACACCCTTGGAGTCAAGTTTGTTTAGTGCATGGGTTCTATTATATGAAAAGAATCCCAATTTGCAAAGCCTCATGATAGTTTGTCCATTTTTACTGAGAATGTTCAAGTCTAGGAATTAATATTGGCATTTCAATTTTCCTTTGAAAGGGTAAAGTAAAACTTGACTCCTCTGAGTCCTTCTATATCTCCTCCCTACCACTCTGGAGTTTCTCTATCCTGCAAGCCCTAGTCTGGTGGCAGATGACTAAAGTTTCATGCATAGTGACTGCTAGACTGCTCCCCAAGTCCCTCCCATGTGGACATTCTGGGCACGTCTACACATCAGAGCTAAAGCTGAAATAAGATACAAAACCTGAGCTATGTCAATTGTGTCGCTTAAGTCAAAATAGCTTACTTTGGCTTTTGGCGCTGTCTACATAGCAGGAAGTTTGAGAGAGAGCACTCTTCCTCTGACTCCCCTTATTCCTCATAAAATAAGGGTTACAGGAGTTGGAGTAAGAAGTCCTCTTGCTTGATATTATTTCGACATTGTGTCGAAATAACGGCTTGTAGTGGAGACACGGACTGTATTATTTTGGCAAAATGTCAGTTACTCTGTGTAGTGGGGTGGAATGGCCACCCTCTGAGCCGGAGGCGGAGGAACCCCTCTGGGAGCCATTTTGGGGCCAGCCTAGCCCTGCCCCCTCACCTAACCAGAAGTCAAAGGGCGGGGCTAGGACTATAAGAAGGCTGCCGCGGAGCTCAGTCAGGGCCCAGTCTCCAAAGGAGCCGGAGGCCTGTCTGGAGCTCCTGCCTGGGGAGGCTAAGACCCGGGCGAGGTATACCAGCGTCGACAAAACCGCGGAGTTCTGTCGACTTTATGTTGACAGAACTCTGCGGTAGTGTAGACACTGGTATTGTTTTGTCGACAAAAGTCCACTTTTGTCGACAAAACTAGGTAGTCAAGACACGCCCTTACAAGGGAGGCTAAGACCCGGGCTAGGCCGCCCACAGCCACCTTCCCGGAGGCCGGCCAAGGGTTCCCTGCCCGGGCTGCTGAGACCTGGCCAGGCCCGCCAGCAGAACCACCTGCGGACCCAGAGGACGGGACCGAGCCGCTGGACCAGCTGGAACCCCGATGGGTACTGGAACGCCGGGGCCAGACAAGCCCGCAGGACGCTACAGAGCTCCAACCTCTTGACCCCTGGGTTGGGCCGCCTGGACCCTGCTGGGACGATACTGGCCTCGACTGCTGGAGCTACAGGTACCGGGGAAGGGGGAAGCGAGAAGTGGCCCAGGGGGTAGCTGGGCGGAGAGCCGCCCGCGGCCAGCAAGTTATGGGCCGGAGCCCTGCTGAGCCAGTTGCAGCTGCTCGGCTGCATTCAGGGCCCCTGGGCCAGGGCACAGTGAGATGGGTGGGCCTGCACCCCCCCTGCACTCCCCCTCACCGCGGCGGCCGATACCCTACCGGGCCCGCTCCTGAATGAGGAGCTCCTATGAATTTGGGTTGGCTGGGCCACCCTGCTCGAGGGCGTGGGTTTACCTACGGTGCGTCTGGGACCGACCGCGTGTCGGGTGGGACCTCTTAAAGGGGCAGGACTAAACTGGGCAGCCTGCCCTGAACGGCGTGATCATAGACTTGCTGGGAGGGGGTGAACTTATCCCTCCGTGGCCCGGACCTGGAGCAAGGCCGGGCATGCGAACGATTACCTCTCATCCCGACCTGAAGAAAGGCGGGGAAGAGGCTTGTCTCCGGCCCCCGGAAGGGGGGAAAGGCTTTGGCTGTTGTGGACATTGCCGGAGGGCAGTGTCCTGAAAGGGATCCGGCCACCTGCCAGCCGTTCTAATTCCCCAATTCGACGGCAGGTGGCGCGGTGGCGAGCGGGAAGCCGCCACACTCTGAAATAACACTGCTGTGTAGATGTACCCTCTTTTAGCTTAGTTTGGTGTTCCATAATAGAACAGGGATGGAGGAATATTTTGGGCTAGATAGGTGCTCAGACATCATAGTGATGATCCCTGTTTAAGATCATAGCTACATTATGAAACCCATCAGTTACCTACACTGGGGAAGAGGAGCCAATGTATGCCTAGGACAACTAGAATACAGACATTAGATACTGATATGTCGGAAGAGTTTTAATACAATACAATCAGAATTATATACTAGGTGTTTTGCTGTAATATAACCTTTATAGACATAAGCAAAATGACTGGGATCCTTTGCTTGCATAAATCAGGTAAAATGCTTGATGGAAATATTAGAATAC